CATGAAGGGTCCAGCAGCAGAAATGACGACTTTGGCGCGCGCCACGATATTATGCAGCAAGTCCTCATCGTCGAGATTAGGGATAGCGTACTAAGGAAACCATAACAGTTTAGTTTCATCCGAATAAGATTGGAATCTCGTGCGAATAGGAAAAGCAAAAACACGTTTATGAACTCCAAGAGAAAAAGGAAAATTTTTCCATTTCCTCAACTAGGAGGAAATGGAATTATACTAACACATGAGTTGAAAGTTCAAGGAAACCATATATAGTGTTGAAGGAATATATGTTCGCTTTTCTCAGCTGAGCTCAGGAGTTTTCTCACTACCCTACCTACGAGTTCGGGTGAAAATCCACATGCACAAATTTATAATTTTCCAAAATTTTCACATATCCTCACCAACACTCGTGCACATTTTTCCCCAGCACTTACCACATCAAAGTCTGCATTCTGATGTCGCCTAGCGAGAACATTCAGACGTATTTTGTCCCTACCAACAAGAGTGATGTTAAGTTGCGAATAATTATACGCAAGGTATGCAACAATCTGAAAAAAAGATGTCAACAACTACACATGTACTGCCTACCAGAGAACCTGTGAAGCCAGTCGCTCCGAAGACTGCGATGTCAACCGGTCGCGACGTGGATTTAATATTCAACATCGGACTCTTGCAAAAAAAAGCTTAAGTGTGTGGAAATATGCACATGGTCAACCACAAGTGTTGATGACAATATGAAAATGCTAATTGGTTTCTGTACACTTCTACCCTCAGACGTAAGGAACCTTGTATAGGTAGTTAGGAAACGCTCAGCGAGCATATATATTCCTTCAACACTGTTGTTGACCATTTCTTTCGATTCCGTATCGCTAGCTTACAATTGTGCTGTGGCTCGAAACCAGGCAGGTCGGATGCAGGACGAGATGTCGAAAATCACCACATACAGTTACATCAGTGACGTTGCGAATACCCAACAGAAAATGCAAAGAAGAATTACGGAATCATATTCTTATCGATGATATAAACATAACCATATCGATACGTGAAATTCGACCATCAAAGTTGTGCTGTTCGTTCATGTATGCCTTACACAATTTTATAAAATGCGAAAATGCGAATTCATTGGAGTTCCACCACCCTAGTGATATGAAAAACTAGTAGGGAACTACTGCACATCGCGAAAATCGCGACGCGAATATCGCGTTTTTCACCGAGTTTTACTCCACTTAACGTAAAAAACCGAAAAAAACTCGAATGGCGTTCCCAAATGAGAACCCCAGTGATAACAGCAACAATCACCATTAAAATAACGCAAGTCGGATTCACCATTAATGAGAATTTAATTAAAAATAATCATCGCCATTTCGGAGGCTTGGCATCTATCAACTTCGAGGTGTTGTCTGTGAGATCCCTACTCAGAGTCTGCCGATACACATTCCAATCAAACTTCAATCCGTTCATGGGCTGCCTCCTCCTAAGGGCCTGACCAACACCGATGTATCTACTGCTCGCGGTGTGACAATATATGCACATCGTCAACTACATGTGTTGGTGACAATATATGCACATCGTCAACTACATGTGTTGGTGACAATATATGCACATCGTCAACTACATGTGTTGGTGACAATATATGCACATCGTCAACTACATGTGTTGATGACAATATATGCACATCGTCAACTACATGTGTTGGTGACAATATATGCACATCGTCAACTACATGTGTTGGTGACAATATATGCACATCGTCAACTACATGTGTTGGTGACAATTTTCATGCAATTTCCGTTAGTCTGTGAAAACTTCTACTCGAAATCGTGTGTCAACTGCTCACTCAGTTGTGGGAATCAAACATTGATTCCAGCACTAAATGCTCGCCATACGTATACCTCCTAACGATCATCAACACAATAGAACATAACCAAACAAGGCACGACTGATAGCACAACCTTCTGATAGAAAAAGCACTTTTTCTATCGGAAAGCTTCTGGCTACTAGCAAATCACTAATGATGAACACCGATGAAATCGTTGATGAATTTTCTCGATGCTCATCTCGAGCATAATAATACACACTTACAACGTGATAGGAGAGCCCACCTACCTTGCAAGCTGAGCGACACCAAGTGCCCACCAAGTTGTCCAGAGATGCATGACATTTATTCTCGAAATCATGGATGATCCTCGCCACTTCGCGCGGCACGAAATTGCCAGAGTCCGTCACAACGTATGAGTCTGGCATGCTCTTCGTAAACGTACTCTGAAACTCTCACGATTTTACGACGATTTCATGGTCAACCATAACATTACATATAAGTGAAATCAAAATTCTCATTTTACTAATAAACTGCAGCTGAAGTGAAACCATTGCAATACTCATTTTCGCGCTTACCTGAACGTTGCTGTCCTCCCAGAAGTGCGTGCGGATTTTCACATTTCCAGTCACAGTAGGAGGATTTGTAGCAACAACAAATTCGCCAACCCACGAGCCAGACCTGCATGCATTCACCTCGAATAAGCATCACATAAGGGCGATGCTTACCAAAGGCCTTGTTCTCTGATCACCGAGGAGGACCTCACTACGTGGATTACGCCGTCTCTAAAGAAGCAACACTATCAACAAGCACACTCGTAATATCGATTCCATCGATTGAAAGCCAACTCCGCTTTGCAACGGCAGTTTGGAAATTGTTGGTGACAATATGAAAATTCTGAGCAAATTTTGGGGAATTCTTGTTGGTTTCTGTACACTTCTACCCCAATCCGTATGTGAACTTATATAATTAGTGAGGAAACTTCCAAGCTCAGCTGAGGAAAGTGAACATATATTCCTCCATTGGAGGAATATATGTTTACTTTCCTTTTGTTGCGAAG